GTGGGAGCGGCGCAGCCATGGATGTTGTCGTATCCAGTGTCCGAGCTTACCTCAGTGCCCTGAATAAGATGTCCAGTTATGTTGGTGCTGTAAAAGCCAGCAGCGAAGCACCTGAAACCATAAGTGTTCAGACCACAGAATGAGCGTTTACATTACATTTCTTTTCGGTTATTTCATCCCCGGAGCAATGTGAAAACCCTGGCAAAGTGTTTACAATCTGGTATTACATGTTAGTAAAGAGCTGTTTGGTGGTGTAAGGGGATGGGTTTTCCAGCTTGTGTGCATCTGAAGGATATTTGGTTCTCACTAGTGAATTGCAACTTTTGGTTGAATAATGAAGCAATTTTACAACACAATATGTAGTGCATGATTTTCTACTATTTAACAACGTTACTCCCAAAATCAATAATTATTCATCTGTTTGACATAATATAGGGTAATCCTAGGTTACCATGGCTGGCTTTGTTTAAAGGAGCCAATGTGACTGCCGAGTACCAGTTCCAATTCACCGAAAGGTTGTAGTATCTTCTTTTATAGGCAAATCCCAGTGCTGGCTCTCACAGCATGGCGTCTGTTCGGTCGCAGCGTCTGCCATCTTTTGCAGTTCCTAAGGTCATGTACAATGGTGCATATGGCCCTGTGATAAAAAATAGCTTGAGGTATATGTATTGATTTTTAAACCCCAATGCAAGGGACTCATCAAAGAATAGAAAGTAAAACTCTCACTACACATCTATCTCTACTTTTCACTTCAATTTTTTTTAGCTTTATGCATCGGATCACATTTTTTCTCCCCAAGCACTGAATACTTTTTCCGACATCCAATCCTACATGACGTACGGAGCATCACCTTGAAGCTATATATTGTACATGCCCTTATGCTTGTACCATGACCAGTCATCGTTGCCTTCTCCCCACTTACAATATCACCGGTTTTTGTAACTGCACTCGCAACAGCCTCCTTCTCAACACCGCCGCCGGACTCACAGACACGCCAGCACCGCTGGCCGGACTCACAACACACACATCAACACACCGGCACCGCTCATAGTAGTTCATGCCGTCTGTTTGGTCACAGCGTTTGCCATCTTGTCGCAACCCATCTCTCATGCGGCATCACTGGTCGCAGCAGCCATCAATTGCCTTCTCCTTGCTTGCAGCATCGCCATTGCCGATCATCATAGCAGCGCTCACAACAGTTGTCTGGTCAACTCAGCTGCCGCCACTAGACCTTGCAGCACTGTCGAGCGGCCTTCGTTGCACCGCCGCGTGGGACTCAAAACACATGTCCAACACGCCGGCACCAATGCCAGCAGTCCATGCCACTTCTCACAAAATGGCGTTCGCTCGTAGTGTCTGCCATTGTTACCCGCAGCCCATCGCTCATGCTCGTAGCACCGACATCACCGCCCGTTGGTTGCGTTCTCCACTCGCAGCATTACCAGTCAGCTCGCATTAGCCGCTTGGTCAGCTTGCGGCTACCACTAGATGTCTAGACCTTGCATCACCGTCAAGCGGCGTTCACAGCACAACCACGTGGAACTCTCAGCACACGTCTACCTCACCAAAGCAGTTGATCTCCGCAACACCGTCATCATGCAGCACGCCAAAGAGTTTGCAGCATCGCCAAGTGGAACTCGCAGTGCCACCGTCGGGGGCCTGCAACAACGCCATGCGAGTTTGAACACACGTTTCCCTATCAAAGGAGGCGATGGCCCTAGCCGCACTACCGGCAACACGCAGCACGCCGGCTGGCTCATAGCACGGATGAGCAGGGCCAGTGCTACAAATCAGCCGGCTGATGCTGGGGAGATTTAAGCCGCCTCCTTGACCGTATGATCATTCCCACTGCACTGTTGGATCCTTCCTCTCCAGCCGGTTTGAACGCTCGCACAATCTGCTCCTCACATCGCACAACAGCCCCCTTCTCTCCTTCAATCTCGCAGCGCCAGGAGCCGCCGGCGAGCAGCTGCACCGGAGCCTGGCGAGCCGCCGCCGACGCTTCACTGCAGCGACTACATCGGCGCGGTGGCGCTCCATCACAGCACCCGACACTGGCGGCTATGCTCCATTGAAACACCCGCTGCTTCGATGATGCTTCATCGCAATCCAGGCGGCCACCGACGAAGCTCCATTACAGCACTCGACGGCCTCGACAGAGCTTCATCGCAACACCGGCGACCGGCCGGTGAAGCTCCATTGGCGGCGATGGGTGTTGCAACGCAGCGCACGGCGAAGACGACTGAAGCTGAGAATCTGATATGCAGCGCTGGCGACCATGGCGGATGCTGCGATGCAGCGTTGGCCGCAATGGGTGCTGCGACGCAGCACGTCGTCCATGGCAAAAACTCCAATACATCGCGCGCGACGACGGTGAAAGCTGCGATGCAGCCGCGGGATATTGCGATGCAGCACCGGTGGCCATGGCGGATGCTGCGATTAACGTTGCCCGAGATAGGTGCTGCGACGCAGGGCGAGACAACGACGGCGGCCATGGCGAAAGTTGCGATGCAGCACAGGATGTGCGTGTGCAGCACCGTCGGCTACGGCGGGTGCTGTGATGCAGTGTCGACGGCGACGGGTGATGGGATGCAAGGCGACGACGGATTGCGGCGGTAATGGGGATGCTTCGTCAGTGGAGAGACAGAGATGCGGGAGATAAACCGAGCCAAGAAGACTGCGGTTGTGAAAAGAGATAAGATGGGAAGAGGTGAGCGGTGTGTGGGTCCTTAGAGGGACACGTGGTTGGAGCACGAGGGGGTTTACGCCAAGGAGAAATCAGCCGGTTGTTTTTAATCATTTTTCCTTGGATAAAACAGTTATATTGTCGGCCAGCTGCGCATCAGGAGGATTATGTTGCCACATTGTAACAAGATATTCAAGAGTGATTATCACCGCCTTATTGTCTTCCTCGAATAGTGATCAAACTTTGCCATTGAAACTATGACACAAATGTACATTTTTCGTAAACTGCTTCTTGGCCTAATAAGTCTCCGTATGTATCTTGGATACCGCTTTAGCCTCACTGAATGACGAAATTATTTTGTACACGAATTGTAATTCTTTGTCGACATGAGAACTGTTCGATCGGTTGCATAAACTTATTTTTTCGTACAAAAAGTTTGGCGCAGTCGACTGCACGTACACGTTTTTTTAGGGGTAAAACCAGGCTCTATTCATAAAAAATGTGGATAGAGTTCGGATCATAGGATTGGTCAAACCAAACATGACGTCCCGGTCCTAACAACAGCGAGAACCTGGCTAGACTATGTGCTTCGACATCGACAACATGACTTTCAAAAGATTTTTTTTCGCGAATACGCAAGGTGCGTATCTTTTCATTGGTAGAAGGAGAGTACAAGCATGAGGTTACAACGCTTACAAGGCCATGTACGCTCTAGGCATGGTGTACAAGCGTGCGAGCAAATTATAACAGGGGGTATGCTCAGCCCCAATACAAAAAACAGGAAACTACGCGCCGGCGATGATCTTTTGTAACCCAATGGCGCCCGCCTTGGTCCAGAGGCGTGCCTCGTCCTTGATGGTATCGTAAATGAGGGTGATCGATGGCCTGTCTCCGTCAAAGATGCATGTGTTGCGGTGCTTCTAGAGCCACCATGCTGTCAGGATGATGAGGGAGGACAGGCCCTTGCGCATGGAGGCCGGCGAGTGGTCGAGGGAGGAGCTCCACCAAGTCTGAAATGGCGTGTCAGGGTTGGGGAGGTTGATCATCGCACGAGCCCAACCGAGGATCTCGTGCCAAACCTGGCGAGAGAATGAGTAGCCTGCAAGGAGGTGATGCATGGTCTCCTCCTCTTGATCACATAGAGCACAAAGCGTCCTCGTGTGGTAGGCCGCGGAGTGCCAGCCGCTCCGCGGTCCAACAACAATCTTGCATGGCCAACCATAGGAAGAACTTGACGCGAAGGGGTGTCCAAGGTCGCCAAGTGAGGCGCCAATGTGGGTCTTCACAAGCACCGATGAATAGTGCCTTATAGCAGGAGCTCGCCGAGTATGTGGCGGAGGAAGTCCATCACCATCTAAGCACATCTGGCTCGGAGGAGAGGTTGGTGTAGCGCACTCTACGCCAGAGCTCAACATATTGCACCATGGCTGCCGGCCCAAGTGTACCACGGATGTCCTGGACCCAAGAACGCAGGTATAAACCGTTGCGCACGCTACACTCCTTCCACAGACATCGCGGGACGAGCGCATAGATGAGCGGGGCAATCTCGGCCACCGATCGTCCGTCGATCCAATGGTCTGTCCAAAACCTGCAGGTGTCCCCTGCACCAAGCTACCAAGTCTTGGAGGCTCTGAAAATTGCGTCCACGTCATGAGGTATGTGGAGGTGGCTCCAAGGGCGTGAGACGTCCATACGTTGGAGCCAAAGCCATCGAACACGGAAGGAGATGCCCGTCCGGTGGATATCTCTGATGCCAAGGCCACCAAGGGAGATGGGGCGGCATACATGCTGCTAGTTAACAAGGCACTGGCCACCATTGGCCTCTTTTGAACCTGCCCAAAGGAATCCTCGAATGATCCGGTTCACTTTCTTGATGGCGGTGCCGTTGAAGGCAATGACGACGAGGAAGTGCGTGGAGATGGCACAAAGGACATGGCGCACAAGGGATATACGGTCTCCTTTGGATAGCATAGAGGCCCGCCATGTGGAAAGCATGCACCCGAGCTTGTTAATGATCAGTTGCAAGCTCGTCGTGGAGGCCTTACAGACGGAGAGGGGCAGCCCAAGATAGGTGATGGGGAAGTGGGCAACGGGGCTCTGCATCTCAAAGGCGATAGTAGCAATGTGGTCGTCGGTGCATTGAATCGGAGTGGCCGAACACTTGGTGAAATTCGTGTGCAGTCTGGATGCAAGGCCAAAGACATGCATGAGCTTACGTACGGTGGCAATGTCGTGGGTGTCCGGGTGGTAAAAGATAACCACGTCGTCCGCGTAAAGGGATATGCTCGAAGCCGCATGGTGTGCAGTCAAGCGGTGAAGGAGGCTGAGGTCCACCGCTCGGAGCAGCATGAAGTTGAGTACGTCAATGACCAGAGTAAAAAGCATGGGGGAGACCGGGTCGCCTTGCCTAAGGCCATGAGCGTGATCAATCGGTGGTCCCGGGTGGCCATCGATGAGGACTCTCGTGGAGGCCGTTGATAGGAGTATGGAGATCCATTCGCGCCAACGTGGCCCAAAGCCAAGGTGATGCAGTATCTGGAGGAGAAAAGGCCAGGATACACCGCCGAAGGCCCGCGTGATATCCAACTTGAGCAGCATGCGCG